TAACGTGTGTTTATGTTCTGGATCCCACAGGTGTGTGCTCGGCAGACATCTTGCATATTAATACCTGTACCCTAATGATTATTCTCACTGGAACATTTATTTTTTCGCACATATGAGTACAGTTGTATACAATGTTGGGTATAAATTACAGGTACAGAAATTCCCTTGTGATGACTGTAACGTAAAATTGATGCCTTAGTTAAGATATTAATTTTGTAATTTGATGTATTTAATTAAGAATACAGATATACCTGAATTTATCTGTAGTTTGGGATATAAACAATGTGACTATACTCTGACACAATAAACTAATAGTAAACTGTGAGTCATTAAACAATGTATACCCGTGACCTGTGAGTGACCTGTGAGTGACCTGTGAGTGAACGAGACGCCGGACAGCAGCTAGTTTGTTGTGCACCCTATGCTTATCCTGTGAGCTGTAGTGCAAAAAGGATTACGGAGTAGAGGTCACAAGGGGTGTTTTTCAGACTCCATTGATCAGGATAGTGTGGGGTTGAGTGTTACAGAGTTCAGTATATCCAGTACTGTACACTGTTTGTTTCAGGGGTGTGGGTGGGCGAGGTGTGTACACAGAATGAACTATAAACGTAAAATTCATCTACTAGGTCCTGTAAATATTGGCAGGTCTCTAGAAATTAATTACATTCCCAGAAATAAAGAACTGTCAATTATTTACGCCATTTGCGCTTTCCGCTTTTTTATTTTAGTAAGGGTCGTTAACTCGTTCAACAATTTAATCCCTAATGGCCAAGAACAAGGAACCACTTAAGCTAACGACATAGTTCACACATTTTAAAGTTTAGGGATATTGTTAAATGGTGTAACAATAACTGTTTAGTAATATAGATAACATACCAGTATTAAATTAAAACTCGTATCTCTGAGAGTTTGGGTGACCAAGTTCACAACGATCACCAAACCTGCCTTTAACAGACAAACCTAACAACGGTAATAATAAGATATTTTTATTTAGTATTTTTTTAGTCATAACGGGTTATTTGTTTTCAAGTCTGTGAAATAAGCTGGGGTGTTTAAAGTTCAGGTGAGCCATGCACTGCGAAGTACGGTAAACAGCTTAACATGTCTATAGCATTGTGTATTGTACTGGATTTTTAATATACAGCACTGTACACAGGAACTATGAGCGTGTGTACCAGATACACACTGTACTTGTGAAACTTACCTCAAGTATTTGAAGTGGTGGTGCTGTGTGTTCCTCTCTTTCACACACACACACACACACACACACACACACACACACACACACACACACACACACATATTTTTCTCGCCACTGTTGCTCCAGACATGAATATTGGCAATGTAGCGAGACGTGTTTATGTACTGTACGTGCGTGTGAGGTTACGATTCATGTGGCACACACCTGCTACACACAGTTGTGTGAGCCACACATCCACCTCCACTAGGTGTGGGAGACGAGTGAATGAACTCTGGCACTCAGCCATCGCTCACTAGGGTGTCACGCACGCTTGATGGATCTGTCTGTGGCTTATATTTTGTTCATGTGTGCCAGAGTAGACCAGAGAGGTGGGTCATGTTGTCACGGGACTGATGTGTGTGTGTGTGTGTGGAGAGACTCATGGTCACTATACCAGGTGTGTAACACAAGTGTGTATTCGTGTTATGAGGGTGTATGGTATCCTGTTCAGTATACCAGGTGTGTGTATTACAGGTATATGTTGTGAAGATTGTGGTTAAAATACCACGTGTATACATGGTGAAGATCAAGGTCAGTGTACCAGGTGTGTGTGTGTGTGTGTGTGTGTGTGTGTGTGTGTGTGTGTGTGTGTGTGTGTGTGTGTGTGTCCATCCTATAGTGTGTCCCCATCTGTTTGTGTCCATCCTATAGTGTGTCCCCATCTGTTTGTGTCCATCCTATAGTGTGTCCTCATCTGTTTGTGTCCATCCTATAGTGTCCCCATCCGTTTGTGTCCATCCTATAGTGTGTCCCATCTGTTTGTGTCCATCCTATAGTGTGTCCTCATCTGTGTGTGTCCATCCTATAGTGTGTCCCCATCTGTTTGTGTCCATCCTATAGTGTGTCCCCATCTGTTTGTGTCCATCCTATAGTGTGTCCTCATCTGTTTGTGTCCATCCTATAGTGTGTCCTCATCTGTTTGTGTCCATCCTATAGTGTGTCCCCATCTGTTTGTGTCCATCCTATAGTGTGTCCTCATCTGTTTGTGTCCATCCTATAGTGTGTCCCCATCTGTTTGTGTCCATCCTATAGTGTGCCCTCATTTGTTTGTGTCCATCCTATAGTGTGTCCCCATCTGTTTGTGTCCTTCCTATAGTGTGTCCCCATCTGTTTGTTCCCACTATTCTACCTTATACACCGTGGAAGGTACAGTACTAGTCACTCCTAGGCGTCAGCTACCTGTACTCTAACCTTGAACTACTTTACAAGGTCAATAGTTCTCTGTACTCTAACCTTGAATTACTTTACAAGGTCAAATGTTCTCTGCACTGTAACGTTGAATTAAGTTCTGTATAAAAGCTATGTCTGTAAACTGTATAGATCTGAGACACAATAAAACCCGTGAGCCATTAATTTAACTGTAGAAAAAAAAAGTCCTAAATTTCCGTGGGTAACAAAAGACCTGTATGGATTACGGAGTTTTCTTTTGTTATCATTATCGGATATTGTAATTTGTTTGTGTTGCGGCAGAACCTGTGTTGGTGGGCGTTGTGTGAGGTTGAGTTGGTTGACAACACACCTTGAATATACTGTCTGGTCGGTCACCTGGTCTGTGCAGTAGGTTTAACGAATAGGAGTTGTGGGGGGGAGGGGGGGGATGTGTATGTGTGTGTGTGTGTGTAAATTTATTATATTTTTGAATATATCTCAAGACAAATCAAGTCTCTAGTGGTGTAAGTTATCTCATGTATCGTTCAGATCGACGGTCACTTCACACACACACACACACACACACACACACACCAAGAAAATTAACACCTAAACATTCTCTGCCTCTTTTATCACCCCCCAAAAAAAAAATCCTAGAACCTAAGTCTCTCTCTCTCTCTCTCTCTCTCTCTCCATAGCGTTCACAGGTCCTCAAACATAATTACGGAATTTGTTTTAGCTGAAAGAAAGGCAACGCTTCTAGTTACAGTCCAGTTTCACTGCCAGTTCGACGCCATTTTCGGGTGTGATTTGTATGCCGTGTCTTAAATGGGTCACTAATGCAGTGTCCTATTTCCTGTTGGTGGCAGAATCAACTTATGAGTTCTTGAGAATCGCAACAATAAATAACTTACAACAATCATAACAACTGTGTGTGTGTGTGTGTGTGTGTGTGTGTGTGTGTGTGTGTGTGTGTGTGTGTGCGTGTGTGTGTGTGTGCGTGTGTGCGTGCGTGTGCAATAAGAATAATGTAATAATAATAAATTGGAAGAAGTTAATACAATATAATATCGAACATTAATTTAAAAAACAAACTAATTTACTAAAAAAATCGCGTGGGCTTTAATAATAATAATAATAATAATAATAATAATAATAATAATAATAATAATAACATTAATAATAATAATAATAATAATAATAATAATAATAATAATAATAATAATAATAATAATAATAATAAATTACAGCAATTTCCACACTCATTGACCCAAAACTAATAATAGAAAATGACCTTTAGTGTGATAGACGACCTTGAGGGGAGACTCAAGAGGACATGGGTGGTAGATTAGTGGTGGTACCATCGTTCATCAGCCTTACCAAGAAAACACCGCATTATGCTGCAGATATCGACCTTGCCTCCGTCTTACCCTTGGCTTTGTCTTGCTGTAGGGTAGTTGTGAGGGTGAGGGGAGGTCGTGTGAGGGTGAAGGTATGGAGGGAGGGAGGGTGAAGGTTGGGAGGAAGGAGGGTGAAGGTGACAAGGGTGAAAGGAGGTCATGATATTTAAGACTGGGAGTGACGGAGGGTTGATGAGGGTGAAGAGACGGAGTGAAGGAGGGATATAGTCTACTAGTGGAGAACACGAACACACACACACACACACACACTCCTACTACCAACGGCGATCCCTCGCCCGAGAATTACTGTTAGACACCACAACCGTATCCAGCCCATACGAGCACGAACTGATCGCTATAAGAAGAACCCAGTCCCAAAAATTCTAAAAAATATCAATAACTTGTAATCATCCAGTGTATTCACTCCCAGTCAATCTTACTTTTTGCACTGTCACTATGTTGAAATGCCCTGTAGTTGAGCTTCTCCCCACCTAGTTATTATATTTCATAATTGTATCACTTATGTTACTTGTATATTATTTGTAAATCAAGAGACCCATTCCCCAATTATGTAACTGTATATGTTCAGCCTTCCGGCTGCCATATGCTCTTTCAATAAACCGTTGATTATTATTATTATTATTTTACAAGGAACACACACACACACACACACACACACACTCTTTGAACCCTTAAAATAAACCCCTAGAGCTGGTTCCCTAGTGCTCGTATAATAGACAACCGAACAACAGCTATGATTGGCAGCTTAATTTAGACCGACTGATAGACATAAGTTGTAGCCGGAATATAAACAGATTATCGAGGATATGAAATAGTAGATAATATTAGAATCTAGAATTTCTGCGAGAATGATGACGTGGGCTGACAGACACAGTGTTATCCTGAACTCTTCTCATTTTCCGGGCTGTTTATTTTAGCGGCACGAGGTCAGAGGGAAACTCCGTATATCGCGCGTTTGGCACCTACCCTCTCCACGCCAGTGGACGCTCTTATTACCTGTATTTTTATCAGATTATGTCACCAAAACAATGATATTTAAGCAGTTATCACTTAATATAAATTATTCTTATTTATTGTATCAAAAATATTATTAGAAAAATAGATAAAACTACGTGAACCGTAATAATAACGAACGAAACAAATACCTAGGTTGGCAACTGTAAGGCGCAGACGACACATGGCTCGCGAGCGACGAGCAAGTCTGGCTTCAGTTGTGTATCATGTAGTGGGAGGAAAGGTGTACTGGATTTCGGATTAAAAGTGTGAAAGTTACTTTATTATGAATTTCAGTTTGCCACCTTTTCGAGAACATTTATAGAAGTTGTACTAGTGAGGTGTGAAAATTAGAAAATTCATCACACTGATAATATTGTATGAGAGTGCCTGAAGGATCAATATTGCAACTTAACGACTGTACTACCACAAGGAAACTATCGACCCAGCGAAGACAGTAGTTGGGATTTACCTCCGGGATTAAAAACTTCAGGATCACCCAACACCCACCAAATCTAGGTAACTGAACCTACGTGTCATTGTGCTGATGAGCGGTGTGAGATACAATATTAATATTTAACTAAACCTCAGCTAAATAAACATTTATGGAATGGTATTTGTCAGTTGAAGATAAGAGAGATAGGGAAAATTATTGGCCAATAGAAATGTTAGCATAGATAACTGAAGTTCATGTTACTAGTTATATTGTACGCGGCATGAGGGCGTCTGCGAGGACACGAACCAGATGTCGATGTAGCCTGGGTGTGGCGCGAGTTCACGTGCATGTATGGTTGTGGGAAGTCATTCTCGTGCGTGTATGGCAGTTGAGATTCATTCACGGGTAACTTTGCATTTGTTGCCACCAACCGAATCTCGGGAATTTTATCTTTGCAATCAATAGTTTAGACCATTCTAAGACACCTTTCTTCAATGACGTTTCCTTCGCAAACGACCTAACCACCTAACTGGGGCTGGACCTCCGGCATATTATTAGTCGTTTCTTAGGGAAACGTTATAGAATAAAGGTGTCTTTGAATGGTATAAACTATTGATTGCAAAGATAAAATTCCCCAATACAGTAATACCAGTTTACGAGCGTTTATAGTAAGGGGGGACTCCCGTGCGTTTATGGTAGTGGGGAGTTGTTCGTGTGTGTATGGTTGCGGGGACTTACTCACGTGCGTGTAAGGTGGGGATTTATTTACGTGCGTGTATGGTTGTGGAATTCCATCATGTGGCTGTATCATTTGTGCACATGGTGTGTTTTTGTGTGCGTGTATGTCTCGTTTGGGCAGATGTTGGTGAGCACTGTAGTGTACAGTACCTGTATGTATCTTTTACATTCACGACTGAACGTACTTGACAGGAGAAAAATTTAATCTTTTTCTGACAGTAAGTCACATGTTCTCGTGTGTGAAAGGCTTGAGAGCTATCTTATCTTTAAATCCACTTTAAGGGTGTACTGTGACCCTTGACTGCTAGTTATGTAGAAAAGGTTAATCTTATTATCAATAGATTTAAGAGAAAGTTTGGGTTGTACATTACAACTCCACAAACAACACCGGTAACCGATACAATTTGTAAATTTCTCAGAATTACTGAGCTAGCTGCAGGAGCACGCGATTCGTGTCTGGGTTTAGATAATCACACAGACGAGGAATTAGTTAAGTTACGTGACCGTAAAACTTGCGACGTGGTCATGGTGATGTTCACATTGTTCTTATCAGCTTCTCAGGTTAAATAAGGAAGAGGATTATGTACAGTATATTTAGGTAGCGAATTAGATATATTTTAATGTTACTGATAGATGAAGGTTTAATGAATGGAAGAAGAAAGGATATATGCGTGGGTTGATAATATTTAATGAGTTACCGTACTTGCATTAGCCAACTTAAGTTATAAATTTCACTGTAGTACAAATCGTCAACCTGGGAGAGACTGAGACTGTAGGCCTACTCACTCACCGAGATACTGACCGCTATTAAAGGTTGATTTACAGTTCACATAAATCCTCCGTTTGTAAAGACCGGTGTTAGTGAGATTTACTGAGAGCTATTCCACCAGCTGCTGGTCGGCTGTTAAGAGACTTGAATGGCTGACCGTCGTATATTTCACCGCCTTTAATGTAGGAAACGTATATGTAAAACTGTTGTGAATGTTGCCGTACTATAATATATCACAGACACTGTTAAAACCACTTTATTCATTGTTCTGAGAGCCAGTCAGTTAGTTTTCTTAGTGTCTTCTTTTTGACCACTGGTTCTGACTATTTAAACAAGAGGGAACTTTTATTGTAAGAAATTTTGACCAATTTAATTTAGGTTTAAACTTAATTTCTTGAAGTATGAGCGGGTCTGATCGTCAGCCGAGTGCCACCAAAACCTGACCGTGACTTAATTATGTTGATGAATAGTAGCGTCACATTCCCGTCAATGTCTGCGTGGGTCACCGTGAGAAAGGTCCTCCCACACATTATTTCAATCTTATTTCGGTGTATTTTATTACACCTGGGTGGCGAGACAGATTCATTTTAAGACTTGATAGGAGTTTGGGAGATCACATGAGCTCAACCGTGGCCCGTGCTGTACCACTTCCCAGCCTCACCTTGTGCTTTGACCTAGTCCCAGATCTTATGTCGCGCCAGGTTGTGTGGCACATTTCATCCGCGTCTCAGCTTCAACCTCAGCCATATTTCAGGCGGGTTCAGGCGAAGGCTCACCCACCATGACACAGCTACACCATCGAGCACCAGTTAAAGACAACGGAGTATCGTGCGCCATCCTCTGTAGCTACAGGTTTTGTTATTCAGTCTTTCTCGCTTCTGAGTGTTGGAAACATTAATTATTCCCTTGATGCTAAGTGTTGAAGAATGCTGCTTTGGTGTGACGTCACAGGTACTAATGCCCAACTGTCTGATAAATAACATAGCTCTCAGAGGAAACTCTTTTTTTCATTGTATGAAATACGTTACATCAGTGGACGAATGTCGGTCGTGGTGTAGCTGTAACAAATTCCACACGGATTACCCGGTACATTTTATTTTTCGTTAGATAAGCCGCGGGTTTTGGGCTTTAAATATTGGTGTACACATTGAACGCATCCCTTATCTGGTGTTTTTGCGCAGGTGTTGATTGCTGACTTTGAATGCTTGGCGCTCCTCGCAGTAAGGGAACCAGTTTGTAACTCTCTCCAGTGACACTTCCTACTTGGCTCTCCTAACGTTATAATAGAGGAGGAATATTGCTACTCTGTATATGTGTGTTTGTAAGAGAGAGATAATTGTGTATCGTTTCCACCTGTAGATGAGATACACCACAAGGTGTAGTCGCAGCAGGGGGTCTTGTGTACAGTAACTGGGTCTACCCAGGGCGAGGGACGATGACCCTTATCCCACCAGTCATGGCTCCTGAGAACTGCACCGTCACCGTTGACAAAGTAATTGAATTAATGATCCTCATAACCCTTTAAAGCCCTTTACAGTCTTATTTACTCTTATAATAACAATTGTGACATGTTCTCATTTTATTTTTATTTTTTTATCTGTACAAGAAGGTATTCTGCCGTGTGTTCGTATATCCCTGAATAGCCCACTGTAACGAACAGCGCTATTTCCACCTTGTAACACGTGACCTGAAGTCTTATAATTCTTAATAACGTATTGTGAGGTGTAGGCTTATATAAACTTGACGAATTGATGACGCTTTGGTCTGATATGTAATTGAACCCAGACTGAAATTGTATTAGTCTCGTAGTCATCACTCATACTAGCCGAGTGTGAGTGAATGATCGAGTCTAGGGGTGATGGGTACGGTGGTGTGGTAGAGCAGGTGTGTGGGTACGGTGGTGTGGTAGAGCAGGTGTGTGGGTACGGTGGTGTGGTAGAGCAGGTGTGTGGGTATGGTGGCTGTGGTAGAGCAGGTGTGTGGGTATGGTGGCTAGTATAGCAGGTGTATAGTGGTAGTGATTTGGTAGGAGAGATGGGGTATTGCTGGGTGGCAGAGCTGGTGTTGGTGGATGGCAGAATAGATGTGGTGTTGATGGTGGGTGACAACAGATGTATATTGATGAGGGGTAAAACAAATGTGTGGTGATGGTGGGTGGCAGAGCAGATGTCTGGTTTTGATGGGTGGCAGAGTAAATTCAGTACATGGTGTTGGTAGCAGCACTGGTGGGTGGCAGAACAAGCATAAAAGCTGGTCACGTTCTGGCTAACAATACAAGAGGCACCATGAAAGACGTGAACAATCTCATCAACTTATACCTGATACAACGTAGGTGTAGTTGACATACGGGCGTGCCGGCAGCCGACAACAATCGTCTATATTGATCTCTCGGTCACCCGGGAAGCTTTGGTCACCCGCCGAGCTGCTGCTGGGGCCGAGACGAGTCCACGATACTGACTTTGGACTTACAGAGTTCCCCAGTTCCTGTGTTGATGGATGGGGGAATGTTTGCCTAGTGGTAGCCTAATGGGTTTTTCTCCGGCTAAGCATGTTTCTTCTAGGCCACAATTCACTCGTCAGTTTTTTCAGGAATGTGTTTGTTTTTTGTTTGTTACATTATTCTTTTGTGTTTTCTTGTCTATTTCTGTTTTGTTTCAGAGCTGTTTATCTGTTAGTTCTCATCCAAATATTTATTACCTTAATGCTACTTTATTATTGATTGTTTCTTAGCAAATGCCCATTTAGTTGCCTATGTCTTTACCCTTCATTGTTTTTCATCCATTTATCTGTTAGTTCCCGTTCCTGTTCCATAGCAGTTTCTCCTCCCTCATCCCTAGAATCACCAGTCATGACCACCTCCCGGGGTTGTAGGCTGTAGTGATATACCGTGACATATCCCTCCCGGGCTTCATGATTCAGGCGGGAGGTGTTAGTAAGCGAGGCCTGGCTCAGGACACGGAGTGGGCCTTGTAGGCAATCTCCCGCCCGGTGCTGAGCCTCGTTGATCCCGAGACTGGGCTTGTCAAACACGGCACCTAGTGTATGCTGTCTTGTTGCATCCTAAGATGTGGTGACACCTGCCACACTTGCACATGTTTATGTTGCATATGACTGCAAATTAAATTACCGAATGTGTTTAAAAGGTAAGAATACTGTGTGAGGTTTCCTTGTGTACAGAAATCAAATAAGTCCCGGGCCTCTGTTAAACATGGCTACACCTACCTCTCCAGACATTTTCTTAGACTCAAAGCCACCCAGGTATATGTGTTAGAGGATTTTGCAGACATGTAAACCTACTTCTGGTCTTGTGCTAATTCAGTAGCGTCTCTGAAATGATATACCCGCACCGTGTGAAAAATAACATGGAGGGGAGGGGGGTGGAGTTAGAGGGTGAACATCGTTTGACATAAAAACTAGAGGGATTGATAATTGTAGGATTTTGTTGTGAATGAGTAGTGTCCAGGTAACTTAACTACCAGTGACAGGAGTATAGTGGTGAACCGTCTGGTGGAGAAAGGTGACTACCTACAGGAAGAGTTTTCTCCTGTTTGTCTGGACTTCTTTAAGTGTCTTTGT